ATTTTCATTATCTCCATTTTACAGGTGAGGAAACTGGGGATCAGAGTGGTTATGTTTTGGGAAGAAACTAAGTGACATTTATTGAGTCTTTATTATGTGCCAAGAGCTATTTTAGGCATTTTATGTTTGTTAACTTACATAAATACATGTGGAAAACAAAGTTCCTACATTCCAGAAATTCATAGTCTAATGGCAAAGACTGATATAATAAATAACTGATACATCCCAGACAGTGAGAACCAAATAGTCAGGGTTCAAACATCATTCTATAGGAACTCAAAGAAAAGAATGATACATTACTACTGGGGAACCTGGGAAGAACTTGTAAGATTTAAGTTGAATTTTGGAGGAAGGGCAGGATTTTGATACATGGATTGTTGGAGGAAGGGCCTTCCATGAGCAAGGAAGAGCTTGAATACAAGCCTAATGATGGAAGAGTCACAAGGCCTGTAAGTAGAACCACAACCTGCAAGTATACAGCATCATGATGAAGACATGGAGTAGGAATCTGGGGAGATTAGGCCTAAAAGAGAATAAGAAGACAGTGAAGGTTATTAAGCAAAGAAGTAGCCTGATCATTTATATCTGTGTTTCAGGAAGATAATTAGGAATAACTGTGGGAGCAGGAGAAACTGTAGATGATCAGCTAAGAGTTGCAATGATTCAAATGAGAGACAATAGGAACTTGAAATAGACCACTATTTCTCAAACCAATTTGAAAGATATCACAGAAGTAGAATTTTCAGGATTTGGCAGCTGATTGTATGTAGTGGGTGAGGGAAAGGGAATGATGAAGATGCCTTGAAGGGGTCTGTGGGAATGCTAGGAATGCATCAAAGTCTCTATTTTCCTAATTTTCTAGGACCTACTTGAATGTATTCAGTATTCTCCTTGTAAAAAACAAAAACAAAACCAAACTCATTGCCATTAAGTCAATTCTGACTCATAGAGACCCCATAGGACAGAGTAGATCTGCCTCATAAGTTTCCAAGGCTGCCATCTTTACAGAAGCAGACTACCACAACTTTTTCCTGCAGAGAAGCTTGTGGTTTTGAACAGCTAACCTTTTGATTAGCAGCAGAGCACTTAATCACTGTGCCACCAAGGCTCCTATTCTCCCTGTATGTGAAATGAAATCAGAGTACACTAATGCTTCCCTCAGAAGTGATTATTACTCCTCTGTGAATCAAGTGACAATGTTGGCAGTATCTTATGAGGGAGGGTGATTGGATTCACATAATGTCACTTTCTAAATAGAAAGAAAATGAACATGTATTGAGGATTTTCTGAACTCATTGATCATCAGAATGCTCTGTTTTCATGATGGTGGTGGGCAAGTGACTTCCTTGCACAAAGTCACACAGCAATAAGTAGCAGAACATGTTTGTCTGATTCTCAACTGTGTTTTATTTTCAGAAACAAAAGGAAGAGGGCAGGCCCATCAAATAAAGGATATGGGGGGCAGAGAACAAGAGGTGGACTTAAAGGTTTCTTCTGAGGAAGAAGAAGTATGGAAAGACCTTCAGTTTAGTGTCAAGCTTGGTCTTGTGAGAAATATAATGATAAGATATGGTTCCTCTTTTCATGGAGTTTATTGGAAAGAGGGGAGAAAAGATATAATGGCTGCCACTCTTTTACAAAGTGCTTTGGAATTTCAAAAGTGAGGTAATCTGGGTTGTCTGGAATGTTTTGCAGAGAATATTTCAAATGAGTGGTTGTCTGTGAATAGCCCAGGAAGAGATTAGGGCACCTTTCCAGTCGAGGGAGTAATGGGAGCAGAGGGGAAGGAGTGAGAAAGTACACACTCCCATTTGTTTTATGAATAGATTGTCTGGAATACAAGGTTCATGTAGCAAAAGAGTAGGGGGAAATGTTGGCAGGGGATTAGAGCCAGAAAGTAGAGGAAGGCATTCAATACTCAGGCTAAAACATTTATGCCTCATCAAGTAGGCTTTGGGAAACCAGACTATTTTTAAGTGGGAGAGGGAGGTGATCAAAGATGCTTTTGAAAGACTCTTCTGGGGGCAGGCAGTAGACTAGATTGGAGAGGTTAGAAAGTAGAGGCTTGGGGGCCAGGAAAGAGGATATTGCAATAGTTTGGGCAGGTGATGATCCAAATGCAGAAAGGAAGAGACAGATCGAGAGCCATCCTCTAAATGGAAGCTGACCATCACAGGGGCTGTCAAGGCCTAAGCCTAGGGGCTATGAATATTTATATTCCACTTCTCCCCCAACCCATCTTCTCGTTCCTCTCTACTCACTTGCTCCCTTTCTCTTCCATCTTCTTTTTCTCCCCCTTCCCAATTTCTTCCCCACTGTCTTTTCCTTTGTCCAGTAATGCTCAATAACCAGCCATCATTATGAACATCATTTAGGAAGGAGGAGAAGCACTGAGGGAAGGTGTGAGCAAGATAGAAAGAACGAAGGAAAGAGGACAAGAAAAAGAAGGAAGGAAGGAAGAACATTTCACTGTATGGAGTATTTACTGTAGACTAGGCTGCAAGGATGGGGATCCTGAAGCTTAGAAGGAGTACAGTATTTGTCTGAAATCGCACAGTTTGTTTTGATAAACTCCAGATAAACTCCAGAGCCCACATTTTTTTCACCATGCTGTATCTTACCCTTCTTGCCTTCCCTAGTTCCCTCAACTTTGTATAATATTTTCTTTCTCTGACACCCTAATTACTTTTTTGTGGCTCTTTCTTTCACTTAGCAGTCTATCTTACATTGCAGTGATTTGTGTATATATGTCCAGGACCTAGGCACAATACCTCAATAAACAAAACAAACAAAAAACCAAACTCACTGCCATTGAGTCGATTCCAACCCATACCCACCTCCATTGGGTTTCTGAGGTGGTAAATCTTTACGGAAGTAGATTGCCCCATCTTCCTTCCATGGAGCAGCTAATGATTTTGAACCTCCAACTTTCTAGTTAACAGTCAAATGCCTTAGGCACTACGCCAACAGAGCTCCTTCAATGCCTAAATACTAACACATAAAATTTGTGCAATGGTTCAATGAATTATCTCTGATACTAGAGAGTAAAGAACCTGTGCTTGATTCATTGTTATAGTCTAAGCAAGGGCAGCCCAAGGCCTTATCATTAGTATTTTCTAAATAACTATTGAAATGAACTAACTTGAACATCATAGGCACCTCTGTGGACAGTGCATCATGTTAGGAGGTAGAGATACCTTGCTCCAAGACCCAAATTTATGTTGTAATTTCTAGTATAATCACTAAAAGAATAGAGATATGTTGTATAACATCTAAAAGAACAGAAAGAAACAAGTGGAATGATAATCTGAAAGAAGTCAAGAAAGGAGAGAAAAATAGAGCTAGAATAGGTAGGACAAGTAAAGTATATTCTAATTGCTGTTTGTTGTTTTTATTTGCCATTGAATTGGACCCGACTCATAGCGACCTCTCCTTGGGTTTCCGAGGCAGTATCACTATGGAAGTAGATTACCCAGTCTTCCTTCCAAGGAGTGGCTGGTGGGTTTGAACCGCCGCCTTCTAGTTAGCAGTCAAATGCCTTAGGCACTGTGCTCCCAGAGCTCCCAGAGCTAACTCTAAATACCTTAAATGTAAATGGTACGATCAAGACTGTATTAAAAAAAAAATCCATCCATAGGCTATTTACAAGTGAAATACCTAAAACATAAGGATATAGAAAGGTTGAAAATAAAATGATGAAAAATTGATACCATGCAAAATAATAAGTAAAAGAAAGCCATTGCAAGGGATGGACACTGGGAAGAGGTAACTATGGGGAGGAAGTGGGAGGGGAGCTGTTGCATTGTGGTAAACTGTGGTCAATGACATGAGACAAAGCATATGTGAACTGCTGTATGGAAAGTGAATTTGCTCTGTAAATCTTCATCCAAATCACAATAATAATGATAATAAAAAGCCATTGCAGTTATGTTACTCTCAGGCAAAACAGACTGTAAGGAAGGCCACAGGTACCAAATGAGGATGTTCATTTAGCTGACTGTATTTATTTTGTATTTAGCATTCATCCCAGGTGTAGTCTGGAAAAACAAAAAATAGAAGAAAGGAGAAAGGCAGAATAGGCTGCCTTGAACAAAGATCTCAAACTATGGTGCTCCTTCTCTCTTCAGCTCAGTTGGCCCATGCCATTGGGATATGCAGAGAGAGGCCTGAGACACATCCCTTTGCATTGCCTCTTCCACAAGCTCTGTGCCATGTGACAGCAATTTGTAGTATGTAAAATACTCTACAAATAAAAAAGGTTAGTATCCTAGCTCCCTTCAGTTCTGCCCTGTTTGTTTATTCTCAAATCTTGTGGGAATCTTCTCTTCATTTCCCTCTCCCCATGTCATGATCTCAACTCAGCCTTTCAGTGTGTTCAGATATCACAACCCCACCCACCCTACTCTAAAACCTGCTGCCTCTCTTAGCAGAGATTCAAGATTTAAAAGTACAGGTGAAAGAAAACATTCAAACTGGTTCTGTGTTTCACAAAGCCCTGGTTTCTAGCTGGGCAAAGCTTGGAACTCTTGGTCCATTTGGCCAGTGCTAATGACTATAGTTTCCTGGGTCCACTGGACCCTTTCTAAAAATTCTGTCTAAGCATCCTTTATATTTTCCAGAATTCTCTCATCATAGTCTTATACTAGAAAATCACTTTACACTTACCTAGTAACACCATCTCTGGACAGCCTTTCCCTTCTCCCCATTCCCAAATATGACTCTTTTCAGCTACTACATATGGGGCAATTCCTGAAAAAGTTGGGGTGATCTTTAAACTAGAATGGCCACAGCCTCATTCCTGGCCTTTGTGCCCTCCATTGGGAGAAGAGATATCTAGTGGTGAATGCAGCAGTAGCTATCTCTCTGAGTGAGGAGATACAGTTTTCCCCACAGTCAGGGGACCAATTAGATGATCTCTTTGGATTCCTCCTCATTTGGAGAGTCCTAGCCTTTTTCTTGGCTTGTTCACATGTGCCCTCCAGCCCCTAGGGTTCACTCACCTAACAGTATATAGCTTGGGATCCACTGCAAAACAGAGAGGATTTGGAGGCCCTCCTGAACATCCAGTCGGGAAAAGAAGCTCATGACTGTGGTGCTGTTGTGTTGAGGCAAGAAGCCCTGATAGAATGCTAGAACATTTTAAGCAGAGTTAATTACAAGTACTTTGCTCTAATCACTTACCATCAAGTGTGTTTAGCTGCAGGGGACTTTTAGGCTTTCCTAACCTTCCCACCTGTCTTCCCTGCTCTCTGCCCTGCCCCAATTTCCTACACAAACACATTAGGTTCTAGATTATACTGTCTTATCTACCTTATACATATCCTGCCTGTTCCTTCTCCATGTATAGCCAATTGCAATGAAGCAGAAATGGCTTTGAGGTGGCTCTAACTTTGGGGGGTCCTGACAAATTAGTGCAGGAAAAAAGAATGGGTCGGCCCATTTTGAGAAGTAATTCACTACCTTTCCCTGCTTAAGAAAGGGGCCACACTTGCTTTTGCATTAATGGTTGCTCCTTTGGCTCTTCCTGTCTTCTTCTGACAGCTATCTATTCCATCTACTAAGGCTGTTTTTCTGCACAGATATATACACCTCTCAGATTCCTCTTTGTAGCTCTATTTCAAAGACCTCTGTATTAGAAGTCAGATGCCACATGGTAGAGTGAGAGAGGCACCGCATAGAGAACAGACTTGGCCTCCAGTCCTATCTCTACCACACCTTTCCTGGAACACCTTTAGAGACTGCTGTATCACTCTGGATCTCAGTTTGTGCATTCATTGTTGAGAGGCAGTGTAATGGTTAGAGACATTGACTTTGGAGCCAGATAGCTGAAGTTCATTTACAAGTTGGTGAATGCTCTATGCTTTGGTTTCCCCATCTGCAAAATGGGAACAATACTAGTATCTACTTCATAGTGTTGTTCTAAGGATTAAATGAGTGAGTGGATGTAAAGTGCTTAATACAGGGCCTGACATACAGTAGGCACTATATAAGTATTTTCTGTTATTATTAATTATTTAATTCAATTAATGTCTATTGAGCATCTACTACATTTAAGGCTAACAGGATTAATTCTGGACATCAGCCTTCACAAAATTAAAGATTATTCTCATATCTCAGACCTTCTGGATCCATTTTTTCTGCAACTATTTATTGACTACTATTTGCCTAATGTGTAAGGCATTTCGATGCTAACCCACCAGCTGCTTTGTGGGAGGAAGATGAGGCAATCTACTTCTGTAAAGATTTACAGCCTTGGAAACCCAATGGGGGTCACTGTGAGTCAGAAATGACTTGATGGCAATGGGTTTGATTTTTGGTTTACTGTTTGCGAGGCACTTTTCTAGGTGCTGAGGATTCAGTACTGAAGAAGACAAACATGATTCTTGCCATCACTGAACTTACAGTTTAATGGAGGAGATAAATTTGAAAACAAAAAATCACAAAAATGCCTATCACTTGAATTTGTGATAAGTGTCCTGAAGGAAAAGGCCAATATGTTCAGCATAAGGCCTTAAAATATAGAAAGTTCTGAAAAGAAAAAAATCTGTTGAATGTCACTAAAAGAGTTTCTGGTAAAGCTAAACTATTGTTTGATTTTAGAAGGCTTCAGGGGGATATTTTTGGTTTAAGGTTTAAAAGATTATCTCATGGCAATAGTTTCAGGGTTTCATCCAGCCTCCATGGCTCCAAAAAGTCTGGATTCCATGAGAATTTGAAATTTTGTTTGCATTTTCCCCCTTTGATCAGGATTCTTCAATAGAAAAGAGTGTCTGCCTTGAGCATTGTGCTCCACATATGGGATCAAATTGACAACAGCAACTTGAAAGGTTAGATAGGAAACTTAGAGAACAGTGGGTTTACGTTAATGAGGAGGAACAACTCAGAACAAGAGAGAACGGTTGCACAAGTTGAAGACTGTGATCAGTGTCACTGAATTGTACATGTAGAAACTGTTGAATTGGTGTATGTTTTGCTGTGTGCATTCTTAACAACAATGAAATAAAAAAAACCATTTTTCAAGTTGTGCAATCATTCTCACTATCCTTTTCCAAATTATTGCACCACCATTAACATAAACTAACTACCCCCAAGCTTCTCATCTAACTTTCGAGTTGCTGTTGTCAATTTGATCTCTCATAGACAATTCTTTAAAACAGAGCAATGCTCAAGGCCAACATATTTTACTAATTAAGCTAAACTATTGTTTGGCTCAAAGAAGACTTCAGGGGATAGTGTTCAAGGTTTAAAAGTTGTTTTGGGATAATAGTTTTTGGGGTTCATCCAGCCTCCATAGTTCCAGAAAATCTGGATTCTATGAGGATTTGAAGTTCTATTCCATGCTTTTCCCCTTTGATCAAAATATTCAGTAATGGTAGCTGGGCACCATCCAGTTCTTCTGGTCTCATGGCAAGGAGGCAGTTGTTCATGGAAGCAACCAGATACACATTTCATTTCCTCCTCCAATTCCTGACTCTTTCAAAAGGCTTATTGATTACTTAGCTTTTTCCAAGGAGATTCCAAACTACAAACTCATTGCCATTGAGTTGATTCCAACTCATAGCAACCCCCTTTGGGTTTCTGAGGTGGTAAATCTTTACTGAAGTAGATTGCCCCATTTTCCTTCCATGGAGTGGCTGGTGTATTTGAACCACCAACCTTCTGGTTAGCAGTCAAATGCCTTAGGCACTACATCACCAGAGTTCCTTTCCAGGGAGATTAGCAGAACTCTAATCTCTAGTTTGGGCCTCCCTAATTAGAATGACTAATATGACCCTTCAGAGTTGAGCTGAGGTAATTTTTTGGTATGATGGGTTGTGATTTCATTCTCTAATGTGCTCTAGATGGCTACCTGACATGCCACCCCATTCTCCCCTGCTTCTTTTCTTCCTCTTGGACTACCTGAGGCTTTCAAGTTGCTTCTTGGGGCTGCTCAGCCACACAGAGGGTAAGATGTATTGGAGAATGTCTGCTCAGAATTTGCAGAGGAGAAGGTAAAAGAGGCAGACCTGGCTCCCCTGGGATTAAACAGAGAGGTGGAAGAGACTGAAATACCCAGGATAGACAAGGTTCACAAGTCTGAGAGCTTGAATATACCTTCCAGATCACATATCCACCCCTCTCCACTTTGCTATTCTGGGTCTTGCCTACATTGGTCCCAGCCTGACTAATTCCTACCCACCCTTCAAGGCTTAGTAAAACATTGTTTCCCTGAGACTCTCTACCCTAATCTTTCCTCTGTGCTCTCAACATACATTATACAGACTTTGGAAAGATCATACATCAAGAAATTATAGTTTTTGTGTATAGACCTCATCTCTACACACAGCTTCTTAGAGCAATACAGTATTTGGTGAAAAGTAATCTTCCCACTCCTGGCCACTAACCACTCAGCATTCCTGCTGAGGGGCAGCCTCTGTTACCAGTTTCTTCTGCATCTCTTCGGGGGACATTCTATATATAAACAAGAAAATAAGGTAACTTATTTTGTTAAAGGAATAGAGGAACAAACTGTAAAAACCTGGAAACAAACTAAATGTTCAAAATCTGGGGCTGGCTAAGTAATCTATTATTTATCAACCTTATAGACAAAACTGAAGTCCTTAAAAGTCATTAAAATTATCACAATCAAACTGTAGTATATGATATGTTAAGCTTTAAAAGCAGAATACAAAGCAGACCTCCATACTGAACATTCATAAAAATGTGATCTCTTCAGTGATATAATGAAAAAAGGTCTGACAAAAATGATTGCTGCATTAAGGGGAAGGGATTCTGAATCTTCTTTTATGTAAGGTTGTTCGAATATGAAAAGAGACTGGATTACTGTGAATATGCCTGATGAAGAAGTGTGATTCATGATGGGATTCATTCACTTAGTAATTCATTCAGCAAACATTGAATGCTTGCTTTGTGAGGAAAGAAAGCCAGAAACAATGCCAGGCTTCCCAGGATGAGTGCCAAATAGGTGATGGAGATATAGGAAGCTATTATGGGGATAGAGTGTGGGGAATGGGGTGAGTACATTTTAAGACTGTTGAATTTGAGTTATGTTTGTTTATTAAGAGGTGCTCTGTAGTAGGTCATAGGACATGGGTCTTGGAGCTGAAGGGAAAGATCAGGGCTAGTGATTGCCAACAGTGTACATGTGGTTAGGGATGCTAGAGACATAGTGGAAGTCAGGGAGAAGAAAGCTAGGAAAGGAGAAAGTGGATTAAATTAAGCTGGGAAGGAAGTCTTTCTGCAAATCTTGCAATGGCTCTGAGTCATTGCCAATAGTGCCAGGGTAGCAGAGACTATATCTGGAGTTGAATGTTGAGGGGCTACACAATTCAAGCAGAAATCCTTCCTCCCAGCCCCTGTCCCTCAAGCCCCATGCACTCCTGAGCTGGGTCTCATCTTAATTGCCAGAGAAGGCATGGTAGACAAAATGAGGTTTTGATTAGCTTAGAAATTATGTTTAAAGTTTATGTTTAAACTATGTTTAAAGTTGTTTAAAGTGTTAAAAAGCAAACATGACATTTTGTGGACTAAGATGCACCTGACCCAAGCCACGGTATTTTCAATCACTTCATACGTATGGCACGGTGACTGTAACAATGAGCTCAAGAATAGCAAGGATTGTGAAGAAGGTGCAGGACTGGGCAGTGTTTTGTTCTGTGGTACATAGGGTCACTGAGTCAGAAATGACTTGATGGCAGCTAACAACAACATATGCATGTGAAAAGTGGACAATGGATAAGGAAGACTGAAGAACTGATGCATTTGAATTATAGTGGTGAAGAACACTGAATATGCCATGGACTGATAGAAGAACAAACAAAGCTGTCTCGAAAGAACTACAGCAGAATGCTCCTTAGAAGCAAGGAAGGCAAGACTTCATCTCACTATTTTGGACATATTATCAAGAGGGACCAGTCCTGGAAGAAGGATATCATGCTTGGTAAAGTGGAGGGTCAGAGAAACAGAGGAAGACTCTGAAGGAGATGGTTTGACACAGTGGGTTCAACAAGGGGCTCAAGCATAGTGACAATTGTGAGGATGTCCTAGGACTGGGCAGTGTTTCATTCTGTTGTATGTTCTGTTGC